TCCTGGCGGAGAGGACAAGGTTGCTGGCTGTGAGGACAAGGTTGGTGGAGGTGTGGACATGGTTCCTGGCGGTGAGGACAAAGTTCGTAGTGGTGAGGACAAGGTTCCTGGTGGTGAGGACGAGGTTCCTGGCGGTGAGGACAAGGTTCGTGATGCTGAGGACAAGGTTCCTGGCGGGGAGGACAAGTTTCCTGGCGTTGAGGACAAGGCAGCCTGTGTGGCAGGCACTCAAATTTATGGGGGGCCTGATTTGCAGCGGGCAGGATTTTGGCGGGCTCTGGGGGAGGATTAAGGGAGGAAAGCCCGCCTTTCATGACTACACGCCCCAGTCATAACATAATTAATTGGTTTCTAAAAATATTCGCTTGCACGTAAACATGTCAATCAAACAATATTGCGAATTAAACTCAATACCACTCAATACTATAATACAATTTAATACAATATGAGATTTTGTAAATGTTGTTTTAAATTAAACGGCAATTTGGCAATTTTAGTGTAAAAATTGTTCATGATTCATCACAAAAATCCATCAGAAAGAAAACAATCTTTCGGAATTGTGCTCGCAGATTTAATATATGTGAGAAATTTGGCTTTTGTTAATACTCTACAGTACTACACGAGAAGTTTCAACACCATTACCAGCCCAAAGATGTAGGAACATCAGGAAAGCGTAAACTGTTAATTCCTGACATGCTGATCGTGACGCTAGTCCATTCAACCAAACTGAATCAAATCGCGTTTGTTCTCCGCAATGTTTTCCGGTAGTATGTCTAGAACTGAATCGAAATCTGCGCGTAAAAGCACAGTGCTTGTTCAACAGCAATACAAAAGATGATCTCACTGTCCAGTCATCAAGAAATAGCACAGGTACTGCAGAAAATGGGGATGTAAATACTGATTGCGACGATGTACCGAAGTAAGCTCTACATCGACGTTTTGAAAACGTGTGAAGGGCGTTCGTGGGCGTTCGTCACTGAGATTAACTGTCCTTAAATCATTAAAAGTGCTTTTAGGTCATCCGAATGGGAATATTGTGACTCGAAACCCTACAAACGAAAAGAGGCTGGACAACAGTGACGAACGCCCTTCACACGTTTTCAAACCGTCGATGTTGAGCTTAATACTTTTATATAGTACATCATCAAAATCAGTATTTACAATTTTACATCCATGCACGTTAATTGTTTGCAATTATCCTGTGCTATTTCCTGACGACTGGCCAGTGAGATCATCTTTTGTATCGCTGCTGAATAAGAAAATATAGCCACGACCGATGTTCAAAATAGATCCAGGATTAGATAGCAACAATATTGAAATCAACAAATACTACGGTTTTCCACTGACTTGGTATTGACCAATCAGGTGAACGCATTCACCGTCCAGAATCTGAACGGCGTGTAGTCATGACAGGCGGGCCTTCCTGCAGGCACTTAATCCTCCCCCGGAGCCAGCCAAAATCCTGCCCGCTGCAATTCAGGCACCCATAAATTTGAGGGCCTGCCACGCAGGCTAAGGACAAGGTTGCTGGCTGTGAGGACAAGGTTCTTGGCGGTGAGGACAAGGTGCCTGGCGGTGAGGACAAAGTTCCTGGTGGCGAGGACAAGGTTCCTGGTGGTGAGGACAAGTTTCCTGGTGGTGAGGACTCGGTTCCTGGCGGTGAGGACAAGGTTCCTGGCGGTGAGGACAATGTCGCTGGCCGTGAGGATAAGGTTCCTGGCGGTGACGCCAAGGTTCCTCGCGCTGAGGAAAAGATTCCTGACCCTGAGGACAAGGTTGAAGTCGGTGAGGACAAGGTTCCTGGTGGTGAGGACAAGGTTCCTGGCGTTGAGGACAAGGTTCCTGGCGGTGAGAACAAGGTTCCTGGCGGTCAGGACAATGTTCCTGGCGATGAGGACCAGGTTTCTGGCGGTGAGGACAATGTTCCTGCCGGTGAGGACAAGGTTCCTGCCGGTGAGGACAAGGTTAATTCCTGGCGATGAGGACAAGGTTTCTGACGGTGAGGAGAATGTTCCTGACGCTGAGAACAAGGTTCCTGACGCTGGAGACAAGGTTCCTGGCGGTGAGAACAAAGTTCCTGGCGGTGAGGACAAGGTTGCTGGAGGTGAGGAAAACGTTCCTGGTGGTGAGAACAAGGTTCCTGGTCGTGAGGACAAGGTTCCTGGCGGTGAGAACAAGGTTCATGGCGGTGAGGACAGGGTTCCTGGCGCTGACGACAAGGTCGCAGCCGGTGAGGACAAGCTTTCTGCCGTTGAGGACAAGGTTCCTGCCGGTGAGGACAAGGTTCCTGGCGGTGAGGACAAGGTTGCTGGCGGTGAGGACAAGGTTGCTGGCGGTGAGAACAAGGTTCCTGTCGGTGAGGACAAGGTTGCTGCCGGTGACGACAAGGTTGCTGGCGGTGAGGACGAGGTTCCTGTCGGAGAGGACAAGATTGTTGGGGCTGAGGACATGGTTCCTAGTCGGGAGGACATGGTTCATAGTGGGGAGGACAATGCTCCTGGCAGTGAGGCAAGGTTCCTGGTGGCAATGACAAGGTTCCTGGTGGTGAGGGCAAGGTTCCTGGTGGTGAGGACAAGGTTCCTAGCGATGAGAATAAGGTTTCTGGTTGTGAGCGCAAGGTTCCTGCCGGTGAGGACAAGGTTCTTGCCGGTGAGGACAAGGATGCTGCCGGTGAAGACAAGGTTCCTAGCGGTGAGATCAAAGTTCCTGGCGGTGAGGCCAAGGTTCCTGACGCAGAGCACAAGGTTCCTGGCACTGAGGACAAGGTTCCCGTCGGTGAGGACAAGGTTCCTTCCAGTGAGGACAAGGTTGCTGCTGGTGAGGACAAGGTTCCTGGCGGTGAGGACAAGGTTC